CCTCTAAATGAGGATCAGTTAAACATTGATTAGCATTCAACGTAACATTGATTAAACCGACATTCCTAAGTAGCGTCAAATGTGACCCTATCCACGGAAGAGCATGCATCCCGGAGGATTCATGTAACTTCATAGCAAATATAGACGTTTTTATAATAACCTGAACGAGTTTCTCTCCATCGATCCACCCTACACCCCCCGTCCATGTAAAGGTTGTGACATATGGTGGAGGCACCGTCTCGAACCCGACGCCGACAACGCCTTAATGTGTGGCCCTATCCACGGAAGAGCATGCATCCTAGAAAGCAAGCCAATGCCTACACCACGCCACGACCCGGTTACGTTGACAAGAGAGAAGATTTCCGACACCGTGGCAAAGGCGCAAAATTGCTAAGGAAATAACCGAACATCTTGCCGGAGAGGAAAAGATTAGGGAAAAGGCACTTTTGAAAAGAGCCATAGCAGTAGAGAATATACGAAAAGGAGAAGAAAAAAATAAGCGACGTTTGGACGAAAGACAGAGAATGAGATTTCGTAGTTGGAGACAAAATTAAGGTGCTCATACGAATGAGACAGGTTGGAGAAGTGAAAAGTTACTCTTAAGACGGTTTGGACCATACAAAGTAATAAGAAAAATGGGAGAAGTGAATTACGAGGTAGAAAAGATTGCAAGCAGAAAAAAAGGATACGGTCCACGTGAAAAGTATGTTTTCATACTACGATCCATGGACAGAAGCTGCGCCTATTGAAGAAAGGGCAGAGGAGACAGATATAGCTGAAGACGCAGAATCTGAGGTTGATGGAGAAACAGAAGATGAAGACGAAGAAGAAAAAAATTAAGAGGAAAATGAAAGCAGTGAAGCAGAAAACGAGTTAGAAGGACACTGATTGTACAGATGAAACATAAGCAAAACTATGAAGTAGAGAAATAGGAAGTAGAGATAGAATAAAAAATAGAGTAAGACATAAAAAATGGAGTATACAAGGAGGGATGGAGAGGAACGATGGCTCAATATAAGAGGAAATTAGTACCAAAAAAGAGCGCGAGCTACAAAAAAAACTAAAAGAAGGCATATGGGTATACAAACAAGTTGGACTATAAAAACTTACTGGTTGGAGCCATGATCAACAAATGAGCAAATGATGACATTTGATGGCCCAAATGTGGGCCATAATTAAACCAATTATAGGAATGAGCATTTTTATTTATTTTTTTAATTTTAAAAATTTATTTTTTGCATGTACATTATTCACAAAGCTTCAACCAGGGACGAACATAGCAAAGCTGAAACTAGAACTGGAAGGATAACTGAGTCCTTGCGATAGCTCTGAACTAAGTGGGGGCTCATGTCTGTATCAATGAACAAGAAGCCTAACAAATCCGGAACCAGGTAACGACACTTAGACCGTGGGACCATACACCCCACGATCTAGCTGACCCACCAGGAAGTACTTGAAGCTAGAACCAATCTACTCAAGAGACAGAATATAGGACAATAAACAAGAAGCATAGCAAACCAGGAGCTAGGCAACGACACTTAGACCGTGAGACCGTAAACACCCCATGATCTAGCTGACCCACCAGGAAGTACTTGGAACCAGAACAAACCCACAAAATAGAATACAGGTCCGGACCAAAAAAAAAAAAACTATATGGCTGAGGCTGCAAAGGTGATGACATTTTTTGTGAATAAGATATTTTTTGTAGTAACCTGAATAATAATGCACTCCGACCCAACCTACCATGAAAAAACTTAAGTTAATTTTAATTTTTAAATTTTTTTTTCTCATACTCTAGATTTGGATTATGTAATTGTTAAGCAGAGATATTTCATAATTAGGATTTATTGTATTATGGTAAAAAAGGGATAATTTAGGATTAGGATATTATTGTATTTCAGTTTATTTAATCTTCACGTCTCTTCCAAGCATTGGGGTCCAATGCTTCATGCATGGAGGGCAAAATTATGTCAACTAGCTATTTAGGAAAGGAGAGCCCGGTATTCAACCTTAATAATTTAATTGCCAATTCATTTGGATGTTTATTGCAATTCAGCAATAAATTCATATAATAAATAGCGGGTCAAGCCGAGCAACGGAGAGACTTGAACCAGTGTTAGTACCGTCGCCCTGGGAACTCCCCTCTGTAGTCAAGTCTCCTCAGTGCAAGTACCGCCACCCTGGGAAAGCCCCTTTAGATGAGGATCAGTTAAACATCGATTAGCATTCAACGTAATATTAGCATTAAGCTGACATTCCTAAGTAGCGTCAAACGTGTGGCCCTATCCACGGAAAAGCATGCATCCCGGAGGATTCATGTAATAACTTCATAGCAAATATACATAATTTTTATAATAACCTGAGCGAGTTTCTCTCCATCTATCCACCCTACACCCCCGTCACTGAGAAGTTGTGACATTTGGTGGAGGTGCCGTGTCGAACCCGATGCCCAAGAACTGAGGCCTTTAGGCGCCTTCACGTGTGGGCCAGTGTTGCCACAGGCTCTGAAAATTTCGTGCCAGACTATGAATTTAAAAGGGGCCAAATTTCAGATTTTCGGGGATAATACCACGAGAGCTTCAAAATTACCGATAATTTTTCACGATTGCGTGTTTTCTATAATTTCACGAGTCCGTAGGACGAGTGAAATTTGCAGAGAAAACACGCATGAGTGAAAAATTATCTGGTTCATTTTAAAGCTCAAGTGGTATTTACAGGATTATTTCACGTATGAGAATGCAAAAAATATGGAAATAAATATGTATTAAACGATTTGAACATCTTAACAATCAATACAAATAAATGGTTGCTATCACGAACCGTTTGTTTGTATCAAAAATAAGCATGACAACCATGTATACAATAACATGGGAGAATTATCGAATGTAATACCACAAGAGGTTTCAGGATTACCGGATAATACTTTTACCTGTCACGAAACGCGTTTCGCAGCAACACCACGACCCCGAAGGAGGAGTGGTGTTGCTGGTAATGCGTTGAGTGTCGGGTAATAGTATTATGCCGGTTTTCCACCAAACCGACAAAACAAAAACAAAACTTAAACTCAGACAAAACTCCAACTTTTCCCAAACATTTTCAAGATTAGCGTGTTTTGCTCATTTGGAGTTTTGTTTTTCGGGTTAATTTCGAGTTTTAAAACATGTTTTAAAACAAAAACTCAACAGTCCGTTTGGTGGAAAACCGGCATTAGATAATCCTGAAACATCGAGTGGTATTCAAAAGGTTATACAACGAACTAAACTTTAAACTTTAAAATTTAAAAAAAAATTCTATGATAGAATTTGCCATAATTGCCACCAAGCGCGATAATCCCAAAAGGCTTATCACTTTTTAAGCCTCTCGTGTCATATGGGAATAATGTACAGTGAGTTGTATAATCGCTGTAATTCTCTCTAGTTAAACAAATGGAAAAGAGAATTTCCGCTGTAATTCTGAAAATCGTCACTTGTCTTATGGGAATTCTAACACATGAGTGGAATAATCGGGCAAATCCTCCACAAATGAAAAAGAAGAAAGAAAGCCCGCCGGAGGCAGAACATTTTTTCGGGTGCCACGCCCAAAAACGCTTATTTTGCATAAAAAAATAATGATTTGGCTTGTTATGGAGAAACGGGCCAGATTCGGAAAAGAGTGGCCAACGGGCCACTCCGTTTAGAAAGGGCCAGATCTGGCCATATGGGGCCACCTGTGGCAACACTGCGTGTGGCCCTATCCACGGAAGAGCATGCATCCTGGAGGATTTATGTAATGACTTCATAGCAAATATACATATTTTTATAATAACCTGAGCGTGTTTTTCTCCATCTTTCCACCCGACACTACCCATCACATACGATGATACACACCATATTATGTCTTCATCCTTGACATCTATTTTCAAAGAAGTTCTAGATGGAAGATCCTCAAATGCACCAGGCTTGAATGAAAACGAGACACCAGAATCCATAGTGGACCTCAAGCAGGAATCAGAAGATGTGGTGTCAAGATTGACCTATTATAGAGATATCGCAAATTCGGGTCCCTTAAGACAAAACCTTATCAAGTCACAATAGGGCATATCTTTATTTCAAATTCCGAATTCAGTTATCACAATCCTCATTGAGAATATCTGATGCCTAATTTCTAAACAGGAAATCTAAATAACCAAATTGCTAGTCTTACACCTTCATAAGTTTTTGAATAAGAAAAGGTTAGTGAAGCTGATTCAAGTCAATTTACAAGTAAATCTTCACATTTTTGTTAGACCCAAAAGATTATTTGTGAAGCAAAATTTATGTTATCTAGTTGTTGTTTATATAAAAACGAGAAATGTGGTGCAAAGATTTTCAGGTTTGCCTCTGAAGATGAATAAAAGGTTTCTCTACAGGTTATGAGATGTAGAAAAAAGATTAAAGAAAGTTGTAACTAGCAAAACAATAGGAAACCAAATGAAATATAACAATTTCTTTTTCATGGAATTGTTGGCATTAATTAGGAGTAGGTTTCAAGGGATGGACGTTGTTCGATCTATACCATTTACAATTCTCTTGATAAAGGATCCATAAATTATGCAATAGGAAAATATATTGCTACAAATAAAGAACCTTATTTTTCACCAATCCAGTATCATCACTTTACGGAGCGATGAAGGTTAAGAATTCACTCATCTGATTTATCTAAAGAAATATAATCAGTAAGTGGATACTCGAGTTGTTTGAAAGTCAAATGGGTACTTGTTTTCTTCTTTTCTCAGCCAGCGCACACACTCCAAGTCCATTCCCGAGACATAATTCGATAAAATATGCCCCCACGAAAAGCTCGCGGTTGGGTAATATATCAGTGGGTCAGGAGGATAAAAGAAGAAGTGGTAAAAGACACGAACTCCGCGAAGTTTCAACAAGTGGCGTCGTAGGCACGCGTGCAAGAACCAATCGGACCGTGGGGCGGACCGGGGTCTTCGAGGGGGCGCAGACGCGAGGTAGAGCGCGAAGAGTATCCGGCGGCGACGTTGGCGTCCGTAGAGTCAGAGGCTGTCCGACAATACCGACGAGGCGGTGGGACTCCGGCAGCCCCATCGTGGTGGCGGCAGTAGCACGCTGCCCGACGTTGACGGCACGGCTGGCCATCCACCACAACCACCGATATCCTGGGGGGATTTCTTTAGTTTAGAAGAACTTTTGGTAAGTTTTTTTTTTTTGATTATATCTTGCCTGCTTAAGTTTGTAGACAATTAGTAGGTCCAAAATATTGGATATTTGAAGATAATAGATTGTATTTAAAGTGATTAGAAACGGAAATTGTATGTGTTCTCTTGTGGAATTCTCTTCACAGAGGAACTTCTAGAATCTAATTAAATGTTCGAACGCTATTTATTTGGCCAAAAACTGGTATTTTTTAAATTTTGGTTTTTTGAAGGAGCTTACAGGGAAACTTTTCTTAAGAGCTTTTTTGAATTTGTTGCATGTTCAAAAGTTTTCGAGATATGGGAAACGAAACACCAGCTGGAGTAAAGTATGATCTACTTTACTGTAACAAATTCCAATACATTATGACCTAAATTGAAAAAAAAACAATGAGTTTATTTATAATAACGAACTCTTCAACTCATTTTCCATAATATAACGGGATGTGGAGCACCTTTTTGTGTTCAAAAACTTTTCCGAAAAACTAGGTTTGGAATAGGTAACAATCATTCTCTCTTCTCTACAAAAGCTATACATTTCTTTTTTGATGATCAATTTGGGGATGATAACCATTGAATGTCTTATACATACTTTCTTCTTGGTATTGAGGGATTGATGTTATATCATCAACATTTTATAAGACGCAAGTTGAAATGGTAATTCTGTAGATATTGCATAATGATAATGATGAGATTTTGAATCATCAAAGCGGAGAAACTGGTGACACAGTTGTAACACAACAGTTTCCTAGAGCATTAGTTTCTTTGAAATACATATTCATCTTGGTACTGGAAATAGGTAACTGTTCTCAAGAACAAAGATCAACAGATCTATGAACTAGAATCTTCAATCTCAAACTTGTTCTGTACGAGATGTCATTTTTTGTCCCCAATTTTCATAATGCTTCCTACGAAATCAGAACTTCAGATTATATCCTACGATCGACACCCTTGGCCTTGAAGTATAATTCTTCTTATGTATTTTTGGTTGAAAATAATATAGCCCCTAGCCAGTTTTCCGAAAAATTTGAATATTGGCAGCGTTCTCCTCTACTGTAAAAATTTCTTATGTAAAATTCTCTTTGGAAACCAGATTTTAATGATATGCCCTACGTGCCATTTCAATACTCGCTTTTACCTCTTCATCCCACTTAGCTTTACTGTTTAGCCAAGTATTTGAAATGTGGAACTAGTTTAATGTTGTGTCCGTTGATTGCAATCGAAGTTGGTTCGATGTTCATTTTACCTACGGTCATCCATTTCGTTTTCTTGATCTTTATATTAATACCCCCATCTTTGGCTAAATGGCTAGCCTCATGCACTCTATCCAGCAGTATTTGCAAGTCTTCCATGTTTTCCGTAATAATGGCAGTGTCATCTGCATATCTTACATCTTATCTTATCTTACAGCACTGTTGTGGTTTTCTTTTTGTATATGCCAGTTAAAGTCATCGTGTATGGTTTGAAGCTGCTCTAACAAGATTCCCGAAGCCACACTTCCTTTGCTTCCCTAATTTTTTTCCTATTATCCGATGTATTCTCTTGTACTCACTATGATTGTTGTTTTTGTGTTTTCGTCTCCCTTTCATAAGGTTCAATATGTTCTGCCTCATCCATTCTTTTCTGCCTTTTTTCCCTTTCGGTTCTACCAGCTGCTCAAGTCTAGTACTGAGCAGAGCAAGTTATGATCAGAGTGCACGTCAGCTCCAGGATAGGTTTTCGCTGACTTATTGCAATTCTGGAATCGTCGGTTGATCAGGATGAGGTTGATCTGATTCCTCACATTGTTATTCTGTGTGTGTTCGGGGGACGCCCATGTGTACAATTTCCTGTATGGAAGATTGTACCACATATTTGTAATCACGAATTCTTCTTTTTGGCAAAACTGTACAAGTTTGAAAAAATATAAGTGAAAAATTGTTGTTACGTATTCCTAGGCCGTACTGTCCGGTGACATCTTCTGTTGTTTCTCTGCCCACTTTTGCATTCGAATCTCCCATAATAATAGTGATTTCGTGTTTTTTTTTGTCGCCTTTACTATGTTTTTAATTTGTTCATCATCATGGTCAGTAGTAAAGGCATAGATCTGAATAATGTTCACATTTACAGGTCTCATCGCCAGCTGTAGTAGCATTACTCGGTCTGCCATGGGTACAAAGTTTCTACTGATCTGCTGGAGGAGTTATTTAGTACTATAACCACTCCGTTTCTATGAGATGCATCTCTCGTTCCGGATGTGAAAATTGTTACATCGAGTCGAAATTGGTTGCATCCGGCCATCTTGTTTCACACACCCCTAGTATTTGTATGTCCATTCTTTGCATTTCCAACAGTAAGTTGTTCAATCTACCCGCATCGTAAAGTGTTCGAGAACATTCTATGTTCCTATTCTCAGATCGGATCTTCTTATCCGTCGATTTCTGTCACGAGGTTTTCGTAGGCTTACGACCTGAGAGGCCTCGTGTTGTGAGTGTGTTTCTCCTCTCCTGCCGAATCTCGGTTTCCGATTTCCATGATTAGTAACATTCTGCAATCGAGGTGTCAATGTCATGATGATTTTCCTGGGGAATCTTGAAAATCTTCAATACAGTGGCCCCCCATTGCCTTCTGTATCCTTATCCCGTTGACCATTTTGTTGGTTCATCAGCCTGCGGAGTCAATTTCTTGATCCTAGGGTAAGAGGGTGCCTTTCACTTACCAGCTCTTCCACCCGGAGCTGTTGGCCAGCAAGTGGTTCTTTAGCTAAACCACAAAAATTATCATAGGCTTCCACTAGCGAGAATTTGTAGCGTAGGTACCTACAAAACAGGTTCATAACAAACTGTAGCTCTGTAACTGTTCAGTTCTGAGCTTAAATTTTGAATAAATCGATGACAGACCTTGGACAATGATTTTTCTTTTCAACATACGAGTATTCATTTTCCTAGATCTGGGATCAGATTTGGATCCCCAGTCTTCAAAACTTTTGATGTTTATTTGAATCAAAGTATGTAACTTTATGAACTATATACTTAATTTTCCTAGTTCCGAGGCAAATCTTGCCTTTCAATAAAACACCCTCATAACTTTCATGTATTCAGTCCTGAACTGATAATTTGATCAAAATTACCCCATATGACTGACCTGGGACATTCGTTTCCCAGTTGATATCAATCGTTATAATTTCCTAAGTTCTGCCAAATGAGAAAATGGGCTTGGAACTTGAGTTAAGGTCACTGTAACCATACTGTAACATGCAATATGTCACTGTCTATTTTATAAATTAAATTGCCACCTTGAATGTTGACAGTCTGCCATTATTGGAACAACTTAAAAGAAGATTTAAGTCGAAAATACTAATAGCAATTATTAAACTAGAGGGTACGATTTTCGTTTAAATTTGGACAACCAGTTTAGTACCAACGCTTTCCGTTGGCTATTTTTTGAAAGAAAGCCCTGCCTGTGGAGATTGTCCGTTTCTTAGTCCCTTTTCAATGTTGCCGATGCCCTGAAAGGTCGACTGTGGCCGGGGAGGCAGCCATTTGCCTCAACTGTGATTACCGTTCTCGTGAAGAAACATACCTTATCGGCCATCAGGCATTAGTTTGGCGAAATAAAGCTGGGCAAGGCAAAGTTCCGTTGATTACCGGAAAATAAAAGTCTAGGGATTACCGTTTTATTCAAGTTTGAATTTCGAACTCCTTCGTGGGTTTTCCGAGGAGCTGTTTTTCGGAGGAGCTGTTTTTCCGAGGAGCCGTTTTTCTCAACGAATCCATTTCCAACAAGCCCACATTTTCAAAGATCACCATTTTCGAGGAGCATTGGCATAGAGTTTTTGAAGTGATTTCCTAGAGGAATCAATTCCCTCGCGTGTCGATACCTGTACTTCCACATTTGACGAAGGAAACTCCTCTATCTACCTTGATTATAGGCTAGAACCTGCCACTTCCATTTGCAACTTCCCAGGGTTCCAGTGGCAGAAAAGGGATGGCTACTGTACTCTAACGTTTTCGTTGGAATTGGGGCTTGTATAGAGTTTCAATAATTAAAATTTGTATTGCCTTTTTTATGAAATCTATTTTATGATCAATTACCATAATTGAATAAATTTTTACCGACATTACAATTAAATATTTAAAATTTTAATTTCATTCATTACATTCTTGACACCGAGGTAAACATTAAATAATTATTTCCGATTTTTGATTAACCTTATTTAAAATCTGTTTTTTTTTTAAAGATAAAAGTCAAACTGACATTATGTTGGCAATACAATGTAAAATTGTCAATGCCTTCAAATTTTTTATGTAGAAAAGGCTTGTGTTGCCAACATAGTTATTAAATTTTTGACTTGGGGAATTATCTTTAAAAAAAAAACGCACTTTACTATATATTTTATCTGTATTTAACTTTTAGTACCGCCATATTTAAAGTCTGTACTTATATTTTATCAGTGATAATCAATCAGTAATCTGAACAGAAGTCAAGGTTGGACAACATGCTCTAAATTTAAAATTATTGAGTAAGTACCAATATTGTCGAAAATTGATCAATTTTCAACCCTGGGTGTTATAACTTATACAGGGTGAGTTACTAAGCGCGCGGTGGTCCATATCTCCTATAACTAACGGAGATCGAAGAAAAAATTAAATACAAAACTTCTAGATAAACATGAGTAGGTACTACATTCCTAAATTATTTTCCAGTATACAGGGTGGCCCAATAACTAATAGTGATATAAAGTTATGTTTTTTTAAATGACTCCCCCAGTATATTATGACATTTCTGAATTCTGCGGAAAATTCTAGACATATTTCATGTACAATATCATATACCTATTTTCAACTGTTTCGGAAATATTGACAGTTGAAAATTGAACGGTTAATTTTACAAGAAAACGGATTTTACATTCCTATCTTAGATTTTCATAAGCTTTCATTTGACACCAACGCTGCATTTAACCGAAGATTAATAATTTAGTCGGTATTTTTAATCATGGATTAAATTCAAGTTTGGTGT